ACAACAACAACAACAACAACAACAACAACAACAACAACAACAACAACAACAACAACAACAACAACAACAACAACAACAACAACAACAACAACAACAACAACACATATGGTTTGAGGAGTGGAGTCCAAGTGACCATTTACCTCAGGGGTGAAAATGTTGACAATAGTTTCTACAGAGGTTTTCTGGTTTTGGTAGTCAGTAGAAGGTGCCTGGTTGAGTGAAGTTCTTGTGATATATTAAAGGAAAGCATAGCAAAGCATACTGCTTATATACCGCCCCATAGCGCTTACAGCACTCTCTGGGCAGTTTACAAGTTAATTATGCAGGCTACACATTCCCCCCCCCTGAGCTGGGTACTCATTTTAACGACCTTGGAAGGATAGAAGGCTGAGTCAACCTTGAGCCGGCTACCTGGGATTGAACCCCGGGCCGTGAGCACAATTTTTGGCTGCAGTACAGCAGTTTAACCACTGCACCACGAGGCTCTCAATACCATATTAGCCAGGATTTGTTCACAGATGTTTTCAGGGAAGATTTTCCACCTCTTTGATGACTATGTTGGAATTGTTTCTGTGGCTGTATATAGTGTCAAGCTTTGTTCAGGTGAGGTTGTATGTTTTGTTAGGTCTCTTGTTGATGATCTGAGCCTGGGCACAGTGACAAAAGCACTCAATGTATAATTCCAATTCTTTGTTTCAGCCTTCTGGAGGAGTCCATGTAGAGTTCTTCTTTTTGTGGTGCTGTATTTTTTTTCACTCCCTGTGGGGTCCAGTTGGCACCTTGAGATGTCCTCCTGGCTTACCATATTGCAGTGCCTGGTGGGTGTTTGCCATCCTTTCCTAGCCTGGGGGGTATCCATGAAAGCTGAGTCAGCAGGATAGAGCTGGAGAGGGTGCACCACATCAATGGCGATGGTGTTCAGTCGGCTCCAATGCCCTCATTGCCCTCACTGCCTCAGTGCGCTCCCCGCCCTACTGGGGTGTGATTGAGGTTGTGCCAGCAGGGAAGGTTGAGCCGGCAGGTTAGAGCCTGCGGGTGGAGTGGGCATGCTATGGGCAGTTTTTTGCAGCGTGCTCCCTACCTGGAACACTTCTTGTTTTCCGCCTTGGGGAAGTTGTGGCTGGAGGTCATACCAGAATTGCCTCTCGCTCACTGCTGTCTGCTGTGGTGGGTTGGGTCCCCAGCTGAAGATGAAACTGGCAGGGAGGCAGCAAAGCTGCAGCCAGTGAGGGACTGGATTGGAGGGACTGGATGAGTGGCACTTGGGGCAGCAGATACTCCTGGAATGCCTGTCAAGCTCCTCCACCCAGCAGTGTATCAGCCTGATCCACTACCCCTGGAAACGAGGCAGGACGAGACTTAAGCTGAAGGAATTGCAGGGGTGATGAGACTCTGCTGATGGCTTCAGGGGAGACTGGTGGCGGAGGCTGATACCATCTGTTTAGGCAAGGAGTGGGGTGTGGTGCTTTTTCTTTGTAAGAACTTGGCAGTTAGTGTCCAGGGGAGTCCTATGATATAATGGAGACCGTTGGTGGCCTGGATATTTGGAGTTCACCCTGAGGCCATTGGCCTCCATTGGTACAATTCCCCCTGTGATGACTTACGCTTTCATGGAACATTGATCACCACCACCCTATCCAACGTGACTCCTTTCTTTCCACGGTACATGTGACCTGAATCCCTGAACTATCTGCACAGAGTAGACAGCCAAAGTGAGTGGCTGTTTCTAAATTATTATTTATTTATATTTTATTGTCTGTCATCATCATCATCATCATGATGTTGTTGTTGTTCTGGTTGTTTGGTAATTATTAATTAGCCTCCTTTTGGTTAGAGGGTCTTAAGTTCTTCTGTACTAAGGTTTTGCTATATCATCTTAGAAACCTTTTTCATGGGGGTGGTGTACTGTCAGTACTGCCAGTATAATGGAATACATTATGAACTTGATGGTGACGTGTAGAGGGAGATATGGCACTGGG